TAAATGTCAGGCTTGTATGCAGTGTCTCCTTTATTAACTAATGTTATTTCAACAGTAGCCGAGTTCCTGCCCTTCTTTATAAACTCTAAAACATTATAGCCAACAATTATTGAATTGTACCACAATACAATACAAAAAAAGAAACACACATAATATAATAATACCTTTAACAGAAGTTCCCCTGCTTGTAACATTTGCTCTCGCACCGAGTCCAACAGTCAATGCAGTTAATATAGCGCTCTTGCCACTGCCATTGCGTCCCACAATAAAGTTAACATTCTCATTTAACGTTATCTCTAAGGCATCATGACACATGAAATTAACAAGGCGAATCTTTTTCACCTTTCCAGCTGTATACTGTAACAAACAACATGATTATGGATGCATTTTGTTTCACCATGATGTACACAATGCATCATTTATCCTTGTTGTTTAACGAATGTTAAACAAGGATAAATAATATATTATATCATGCACATTGTGGGTAAAATGAGATGCACTTTATAAAATACAAGGCCAGTATAAACCTAGGTTAGAGTCTAGCCCTTAATAGCCTTACAATAAACCTGTTTGTTTCCTCTGCACTTCTGAACTAGTGCAATAGGTTAGAATCGTTAGAATGAAAGAAAATATATTTGTTTCATTCTAACTTATCACGCTAGTTCAGAAGTACAACAAAAACGACCTACTAATCCTCTAAGGATTGAAATAAAATTTGATGTTTTCAAGCTTATAATTCAATTGATTTTATGCTATATCAAATGCTACATTCAGAAAGATTTCAGTAATCCGAAATAAAATTAACCCATTTACACAAAAATTATAAAACGCAAGGCTAATATGATCCTAGGTCAATACCAAGCCCTTGTAGCTTTCTAATAGTCCTCCCAAGGATTTAGGTCAAATTTAACGTTTCAAAGCTACGCGTTCAATTGATTTTATGCTATATCAAACATATTCAGAAAGATTACGATAATCCTAAATGAAATTGATTGATCCATTCATACAAAAATTACAAAATGCAGGGTCAGGGTGAATCTAGGTTATGCCAAGCCCTCGTAGCCTTCCAACAATCCTCCCCAGGATTTAGGTAAAATTTGACGTTTCAAAGTTGAATGTTCAATTAATTTTATGCTTGTTCGACTAGCTGGGACAATTGTTATTGATGTGCCAAGGTACCTCTCCGTTCTGCACCACTTCCTCGCCATCCTCGGTGCGCTTGGAACGTTTGGCTTGGTGTTCATCGACCGTCTCCGACGCTCTTCTTCGTCGAGCCTTCGCCGTGTCGATCGTGTCGCTTTCCACGCTTTCCATGCTTTCCATGCCTTCCGCGACGTTGATCGACAGCTCATTTAAACGAAGAGCGACCGCACGCAATCACGCCGTTTCAAATCCTATCGCCACGACGCCGTTGTCCCCGCGAGATTCCACCGGTTCGACCTCCTCGTGGACCCGCCGTTGAGAATTGGCACTCCTCAAGCGATCCGTTCGCCGAGCACCCGCTCAGCGATCTCCGACGCCGGATGAGACGCAGACGGTCGAAAACCATGCACACAACCGATGCAACGTGCTCATCCACTCCAGAAAGTTCCTGTCCGTTCCCGCCAGACCGTTGACGATATGACGATTGTCCCTTCTTTTTCGAAGCGCGACGTTTTTTGAACGTGCTGCGCTCCCAAACGCATCACGCGGTGGCCCGCGCTCTGATTGGTCGACTCCGCTTTGTGCGTGGCGTCGCGCGTGCGTAATTCGTCGTAAAAATGACGATAAGAAAAGAACGATGCAATAAAAGACGCACAATTGTTTTCTTTTTCAACGTATACAATGCACGTCGGACTATAAAATTGGAATCGGAATTTTAACCTGAGTAACTCCTTGTCAAATATTGTCGTCAAATAATCTTTAATTATTTTACTCCGATATTTTCAGATTAGACAAGACGAGCGATCTTGTTAAATTATTGTCATATATTTTTGAATCTATTCCGCTCGCGAGAGAAGAGAAGCGATCAATAGTGAGTTAAGAATAACATCATGATCTATTAATTTTTTTAGCGTGCACCTGTTTTCCAGCTACATTTTGACGCTGTAATCATATCACTTCAAATGGAGGAAATTCAGGGAAATAAAGATTAACAGCAATTTATTCGGGCAAACTTCGATAATTCAACCAAATTGTTTAAATTAAAGCAGAATTTGCAGCTATTATTTGTCGTTCCAGATCTAATATTTTTGCATATATGTACGTTAAACAAAAAATTAATTATTCTATTTTTTTAATAAAAATTAATAATTCTGTGATATTTAATTTATGTTTTAAAATTTGTCAAATTTTTGTCAAAATATTAAACACTGACTTAAGAACTGATTTTCACATTGGAATAATAAAATGCACCAGTGTTGCACTATTATATAGTCTTCTCGGTAGAAAACGCTAATAATAAATTAATCGAAGTTTGATCGAAGTAACCAAACTTCAATTTCACCAAATTTAAAATACAGAAATTGAATAACTTAATTTACATATATATTTTATACGTGTCACCATTAATCGGACAACTTCTTAAAACTCATGCTTGTTTATACATAATAAGAGATGTTATTTTATCTCCATTCAAAGAAATCTTAAAATCTTCATCTTGTCAAAGAAGAATTAATACGGCAGATATACTTTTAATAATTTCAGAACAACTCGCTTAACGTTTACATGTTTCTTTATAAAACATCGAATTTATAATTATAAGTCATCTCTTCGTCAACGAGTGTAGATGAGTATAATAACGATAACTAGTACGCGTTATAAAACCGGATTTATACGACATTTTACGCGCGTCAATATTTAACTACTGTTATTAAACCGGAATATTGAAGAAGGGACAAGGGACCCCCTATTCGCCCCCTTGGTCGCTCCCGTTGGGGTCGGATCCGTGGTGCGTGTAACGTAGTAGCACCTGTCGCACCACCTGTTACACCGCGTCATTAAAGCCACGTTCCAGCGTCCCAGTCAAGCGCGAAGAAAGCGATGGGCACGCATGCGCGCCGCTCGCCCAAAAGGATTCACTTCGGCTCGCTCGCTTTCACTCACTCTCACTTCGCGTTCGTGAACGAACGCCACTTGACATCCCAAAGATCTCATGCGCAGTGCCGGATTTATCTTCGTCGCGACCCCGAACTGTAACGAGAATAACGAGATCTCCTCTCTCCCTCGTTCCGCGTTTAGATGTATTAATATTTATCCCGATATTTTGTTTTATCTCTATAAATTAATAATTTATAAATACGTTTCTAAGATTGCGCCAGATACATGACTTTTACAAATTAGCGGGTTCAACCTCGCTTGACCGGCTCGATTCCGGGCGCCGTCGCGCCCGCGACTCCACGCGGGTATCCGCCCCTGCGGCGCTGCATCTCCTCCCACCACACGCAGCCCCCGCGCGTACTGGTCACGGTCCCTTTAAAATTTGAATCACCGTCGGTTACCGAGAGACTCCGTCCTCCGTCGCGACGATACTCCGCGCGGGCGGCGCAAGTGCGCATCCGTCTGGTCTGGTTGGGCAATCTGGGATCGCGAGTATCGCGATTACGAGCTACGACGATCGGCGGGCGACCTGTTGATCTCTCCACGAGGATCGTCGTGCGCGTGAGGTGAGTCCTTGGGATAACACAACACCGCCGATAACGGTGGGAAGGGAGACTGGAGGTCTTCTCGTGACTCTGACTGTGATCTCGTTGCAGCGCGGACGAACATCCGGTCGCGAGCGATGTCGGAGACGAGCGGGGACAACGCCAAGTACAAGTGGACGCCCGAGAGCACCGCGCTGCTGGTCTCGGTGTGGTCCGACCGGCAGGTGCAGAAGCAGCTCGAGTACGCTCCCCGGCCGCAGGTGATCTGGGAGAGCGTGGGCCGCTACATGAAGAAGAAGGGCTACAACGTCACCGGTAAGCAATGCCGGTCGCGCATGAAGCAGGTCCTGGTGTGCTATCGCGAGGCCAAGCGGGTGGGCACCCGCGCCGGCGTGGAACAGTACTACGAGATCATCGACCGGGTGCTGAAGAGCAAGCGTCTGGATCATCACGCCAACGTCAATGTCGGCGTGGACACCGTTGGTGAGTACGGAGACTGCTGGTCGTAGGGCAACTCAATCCGAAGCTTTAAAATATTAAAAACATCTAAGGCTACGGTGAACGTGATGCTACAAATGCTTCGAAGCATTCCTCTTCTCTTTTCTTTCAATGAAGAAAGAAGGAGAAGAAGAACGATCGCCTAAAAGACATCGTATAATGTGCAAAGAGAGTATTGTTGATATTATATCTTGACTGTTATTAGATGCAACTGTGAAGTCACCGCCGAAGGACGTAAAGACCAACAAGAATCTGCAGATGAGGCTGAAAGTTCAGGAACCCATGCAGTCTCTCTTACGAACGGAGGCTCTATCTCCCACGTGGACGATGGGATGTAAGGCCTTTTATTTCCCTACCGAGAATCTTGTTTGTCCAATGCCAGGTCTCATGATCTTTTCTTCTTCGCAGACGAGAATGAGTATCCGGATTCACCCGAATCGAACGAGACCATAATAGCCAAGCCGTACAACAGAGTTTTTTCCCCTACGAGAGACGTTGCCATAAACACTGGCGAGCGTTTTACCCAGATTGGCAATCGAGCGGTACAGATAAATCCGATCGAGAAACCGATGCGGGAAGAATATCGGCAGAATTTACTGGCCTCTATGCCGTACGCAGATATTCCTTATCAGAACGCGGTGCAGAACGTACAGAATCAGATCATTCAGGAGAATATGCAGCAATATCAGAATAGCCAGCAACAAAATTATACCGGGTGGAATCAGTTGCCGCAGCAGAGCATGCCGGCGAACAATCGGCTTGGCTTTCAGCAGAACGTGCGCAATTTTAACCAGCAATACTTAACCAGCAATAACGGAACGATGCAGAACAACGTGATGCAGAATCCTAACGTGGAGAATATCGTGCGTCAGCAAAATCAGCTGCACCGAGGTGCGCAGTACGCGGACAATCAAGCGATGCCGCAGGAACCGCGTAGGGTCACTTACGCGCAAAACCTGGCGACTATGTATAGGCAGTATCAAGACGCGCCTCGTCTAGCTTGCATGACGAACGTCATGCCGAATGCCGGATCGCTGTCGCCGGACGTATCGCAGAATTTAAACGACGCTTTTTGCCTGTCGAAGAGCGACGACAAGACGCATAATTTAAACGAGACGTACAACCGACCCGTTAATGCGGACATGCTGGCAGACGCGACTGTTGTGACGAACAACGCGACCTGTAACGACGAGACTCTGCTGCTGGAATTTTTGTTGGACTCGCCCACTCCATCGGAGAACGGAGAACGTAAATCGCGGGACAGCGCCGTGAATACGGATGAAGTGCCGAGCGCACCGTTCAGGAAGAAGAAGGCGCAGAAATTGGAGCAACTTGTGCTCAGTGCGATTAATTCTCAGAATGAAGTCGTTAATAAGGTAAAATATTGTACGCTTAGAATATTCTTTTTTATCTTCATAATGCTTCATTATACTTGTAATGTGATTTTTTTATATTACATTGATATATTTTCTTTTCTTTTCTTCTCATCCTCTCTCTATTTTTTTATTGCTTATGTAATATATACGTTTTATATTTGTTTATTATTCTACGTTACTATTTTTCAGATCTTGACTGCACAGAATGACATGGTTACGCGATTCCTCGACGTGGACAGAGATCGACAGAACAGGCTCGAGAACAGATTGGATCATTTACTGAACGTCGTTCATTCAACAGTGCTCAACAAGAACGAGTCGCCACCACCACCACCGATGCCGGAAACTGCGATCACTTCTTTACTTCCGCCACCGAAGCCCGGAATGATCCCGCCGAAATTAGATTTAGTTCCGCCGAAGCCTTGTCGCGTTCCTTGCACGATCCCGAATTCGAACGTGCAGTTAGTCAATCAGAATCCTATTCAGACTAGACCCGGCGTCGTGTCACCGATCACCGTCAGTCCAGGAGGTAGAAAACTCGGCACGATATGGTCGAAATTGGGCCCGGTGTCCACGTCGCCGTTCGTAAAGGCTCAGCAACGGCTTGGTCTTCAGCCTGCCTTCAACAATGACATACGCACGAAATCGTCGGCGGAAAGACGCATTGCTATGGAGGTGGGCATACTGCGTATGGACATGCGTGGCTTGATGTACGAGACAGCGAAGCTGTTGGAGGTAGAACGCGAACTCGAGGAGAGGATAGAAAACGCTCGGCTGGAACTGAACATGGGTCAGACATTGACGGCGCGCAGGAAGCTGTTCACGCAGCGAGAACCCACTCCTATCATGATACTAACCGCGGCTTTCTTGGACACCGAGTGTCGCGTCTACGATCAAGATCCGCCTTATCACGGCACCTGGAATTCGCGGAAGGAGATACTCAAGTACGTGCGGCGAGATAATCTCCTGGCCGGACAGGGTGAGAGCTACGAGCGTATGCGCCAGTTGAACTCGGCAATACGATACAATTACCCTGGTTGCGAGCCGTGCGACTCATCGACCCCGGCGAAATTGCCGCTCAACGTCGCCGAGAACGCCAATAACGAGACCGAGGTGCCGAAGCAGACCATTCAGCAACTCGCGCGACTCGTGATGAACAGCGCGAGATGGCGACATTCCGCTCCGCCGCAGCAGAATTTAGCTCGTTCTACAGTTCAACCGGTAAATCCAAACGCCCAGGACGTTGAGTACAACGTGACTTACACCGCCCCGAAGGCGAACGCGCCTCTGCCTCCGGGTGAACCGCAAAGATTCGTTAAGGGTTACGATGTGGCGCAACAGAAACAAGGCAGCAATAACGAGGCAGCTTCTAACGGTAGACCGTTGGAAAATGATTTGCGTGGTCAATCCAAGTTCCCGATGGGCTTTACCACTACTATGTTAAATGCCAATGATCAAAAATACGCGACTCTACCGAGACAAACGAACGACGGAGGATCTAGAGCTTTGGGATTCGTCGAGAATCCGTTGACCGATCGCAAGAACAATGTTCGCTTTATGGACGAGGCATTGGCCGAGCTACAGCGAATGTGTATCGAGCGTCAGAATACCGAGATGTCTGAAGCACTATTGCCTTTTGTGGTGAGTAACGGCAATAGTGCGATAAGCGCGCAGAATCGCAACCTGATAGAGCGTTATGTAAACGATCTGCTAGCGAAGAAGTCGACCAGGGACAAGGACACGGACTCGGATAACGATGACGAATATCTCGACACTACCACCAGTATGCCTTGCGTGGTGCGCAGAGGCTCATTGACATCGAACGGCACGGCGTCGACGGAAACTGCTCATTCGGTAAAACTCGGCAAAGCGGCAGCTAATCATTGTAGAATAAGTTAAGCGCAGGGAAAAAGACAGAAAGACATAAACATATTTTTTATATATTTTTTACTTGCGCGATCAGTCTTCCCGATAATTGCTCAATTGTGTGCGCCAGGTTCCTCATCACTTGTTACTTCATGACACGTATTGTTTTTCGATCAACGTTATATTTTGGTAATCGTAAAACAAGTATAATCGTTTTATGTTACGTAGTTCATCGCAAAGATCAAAAGCTTGAATTAGCGTCACGATTTAAATGTTTAACCCTGTTTAATCCTTAAATACTAGCGAGTAGAAAGTTATAGATAAATATTAGGAAAATTATGAGTAAATACTACTGTCGTCATTTCTAAGCAGACTTAAAATCCTTAGGAATCAAATATTTCGATAATACACTCAGGCAAATCAATATTTTTCAGTTTCCTTTATAAGGAGGAGAAAAATTACTTGTTGAATCTAATTGATTCAACGCGAGTACTTAAGGATTAATGTAGATCTTATTAATAGTTTATTTCTACATTATACTAATTTAGTACATAAATAATGATACAATTTAGTGATTACGTTATTACCGTATAAATTTTTGAGGAATAACACATTCCGTAGAAATATGTTACGCATACTAATGAGTTGAATAGAGCATACAGTGCAATGGTATCTGTTGAGACTTCTTATATCGATTGTTTTCATTGTTTAGATCTTATTATACAATGTTTATCACTCTTGTGTTATATAGTTTATGCGCTATGCATATATTATGCATAATTATGAGCAAATTCATCGATCGAGCAATTCTACAAGTATCGCGCAAGATTCAAGAAAGGGAACTTATTGCTTATATCTTTAGGTGGATAGAATTCTTATGGGAGCAATCTCGTATTTTTATACCATGACCTGAATTTATATGTACGATTTCATTATTTTGCGACATATACACGTTCATCGCCTTTGTGCCAAACTAGCGATGTGCAAATTGAATTTCATTTATAAACAAGTGCCTTATCATCAATAAAGAATATCATCTATACTTACCATCTTATATTTCTTATACACGTCATATAAGAATGAACACGTCATTATCATGAAATTGTCATAAAAGAAAAAAAAACAGTAAAAAAATCGTATATAATCTACTTGACAGAAAAATGATAATCTTAAATTTCTTTTAACTTTTAAAGATAAAAATTTGTGCAATAATATATATTTTTTATTAAATAAATTTTATTTTTATTAAAATATCAATCACAGATGCGCGCTATTTAGCTTTAATATCATACAGTTACTATTACACTATTAACCCCTTAAATCCTTTATATATATGTATATATTAAATTAAAATTTATATAAATTAATCCTTTAAAAATATCCTTTGATGTATGTGACCTATTTTTATCTGATTACATCCGATAGAAACAGACCAACCTACAGAGACCTACCACCACCTCCGCCGATTCTGATCGAAGGTCCTCTTTTATTTACAATACGTTTTTTTTTTACATTTTTATCATTTATTTTATTTCTCTTACAATTTACATTACAAAATTAAAAACATACAGTAAAATTTTCTTACATTTTACTCTACAATATACATATTACAATATGCAACATTATAAAAGTTACATTATAAAATTGAAAGTATATAATATACAATAAAATTATATACAATATATTTCTTTTTGATATGTAATTACATATCACCATTCGGTATGCGCGTACATACACTGTTTTCAACGGTCGCGCCTAGTACAGTGTGCCTGCAATGCTAATGGAACAAGAATTAACAATGTTCAATTAATACAACATCGACAGTTAAAAAAATTTTTAGGTTGACAGTATTTTTCGTACAATACATTTACTACATTTCTGGCACGTTTATACGACCTTCGAACAAAGATATAAACGTTCCTTCGAGGCGAACATAATAACCGTGTCTCTGACTCTTGACAAACGTTCCTTCGTAGTGGCGAATATAATAATAAAACGGTTGATTTACGTCAAATACATTCCAAATTGTTACCATGGGACCCCCACCCATCTGTATTGCTGTGAACAGAATATTTAAAACATCTTTATAAAGGATATGTTCCACTTGACGCTCGCAAAGCTCTTAGATTTTATGCCTGTCGTTTGTCAAATGTTAAACAAGAACGAATAATGCATACGAGTGTTGTGAGCACCAAATGATACGCATCCAAATGCTTTTGTTTATTTAAAACTTTGTATGCACATCACGAACGTATGCTCTGTCGAAGTATATCAACTTTTTATTTGAATGATTATACTGCCAAATAATTCTCGTAATTATTTAATTACATAAAAGATAGTTCGAAACATAAATACACAGATATATATGGTATTAAACCAATAATGCGGTAAAGTCGATAAAAGAAAGAGAAGCAAATACATATGCAGATGCAGATGTTCTGATTCGGCAATTTTGCACAATCACATGCATGATTCTCTGACAAAGATACAAACAATATGCTCTCATTATGGCCATTATAGTAATAAAATGGTTGATTTATATCGAATCTAATTTTTAAGCTGCCATGCATGTATATATTTCATAATTATGAACAGAATTAAGAGATTGCTCGCGCGTTATATATATTCGTTTGATTATTTAAAACTTCTTCAGTTCGTCACGAATATATGTTTTATTAAATCTGCCGTTTCAAGCAAAATATCTAATTTTCTGATCGATTATTCTATCAAATAATCATTCTAATGCCTACTGTACCTATAATTGCATCATCATTATGGAAAGAATAAATTGAGATACAAGCATGCATCATAAACATGCATGTATATTCGCTGATATACATATCACTTCATAAACAAACGTAAAGCATTATATGTATTGCGATGACACAAAATATTGTAATATCTGTGATTTTCTGAAAAACTTGAGACTTTAGAATTACGTTATTATAATTTCTAGCGCTAAAAACATTCTGCTAAAGTAAGAACTGTAACGAAAATAAACAGCTGAGCGACATCGTAAATTTTTCATTAATCTACTTATAGGTAAAAGAATTATTAATATATCAATATGTAGTTGAAAAACAGGAAAATAGTTGCAATATTAAGGTAGAGGTAGCGATAAAGAAAGAAGAGAGAATTATGTTTTGTAGTTATATGGAATATTAATATTAGTTGTTGCGCGTTGTTGTATGAAAGTAGGTGTATAGGTGAATAATGTCCGTTTCCTGGCCTACTGCTGAAGCGGACTAGGTTCAAATATTTGAGTTTAGGTTGTGAGATTAACGTGCAAATAATGGGTTTAGTCGTTTAGGGTTTAAAGGATGGTTTTTCTAAAAGAAATTTAAGAAAGTACGGAATAATGAATTATTAACAGTTGCACGCGTTGAGTTAAAAAAGTTGGTATGAGTTCATTTCTTGGCTTTTTTGTAGCTGAAATTAAATAAATCTATCATTAATCTACTTATAATTTGGATCAATATGTTTCATGGAATAATATATTTACGCTTTTTACGGTGCTTTCACGTAACCCTCGAATAAAGATACGAATGATACCCCTTTGTTATAACGAATATTGTAATAGAATGGTCGGTTTACGTCGAACATTAAGGGCACTTCGACTACTATCAGACTGTCAATTTCCACATCTGTGAACAGAGTATTTAAAAATTGCTTGTTATGTATTAGTTTGATTATTCGAGACTTCCTAACTCTGTGTCATAAATATATGTATGCTTTATTAAATGTGCCGCTTCGAACGAGATGTCTTAATTTCTCATTGATTGATCAAATAATAATCTTAATGCCCATTGTATAGTTATGCAAAGAATTGAATTAAGAAAGAATTGAATTACAAGCACTTAAACATGCATGTGTATTCGCCGTTTGTTACTTGACAAACAAACGTA